TAATTTATAGTTTCGAAAAATATTATAAATTTTATATATACAAACATATAGTTAAGTTTTAAATATATATATATTTTATTATAAATTGAAACTTATTTTAATTGCTTATATAAAAAAAAACTCAAAACAACAACGAAAAATAGCAAGAGCCAGACAACGTAAACATTTAGATCCTTAAATTTGTTCTTCCCAAAAATAAATTAATTTAAATTACAACAGATTAAGATATATTTATTATAAAATTAGTAAATAAATAATAATAAAAAATTTTAGCTAATTAAATTTGTAATACACTTTTAATCTTAACATCAGATATTAAACACAATTGCATATTAAATATATATATATAAATAAATTGTTGCTTGTTATACACAAAGAAAGAATACATAAAATACAACAGCATCAAAAAAAATTTAATATATATATATATATATACATATATTTGTATATATGTATATATATATATTATATCTAAAAACATATTATATGACAATATAAGAGAGTATAAAAATGTGATTACATTTAAATATCTGAAAGCTGTAAGAGAATTGAAAATAACATAAAGTTAAAAAAAAAGAGAAATAACATATAAACAAATCAAAATAGTAGGCAACAATACAATCTTGAGAGTGAAAATATTAGTGAAAGCAGTTTAATTTTAAGCACAAAATAAAGTTAAATATATATTTGCAACATTTAAAATATTATTAAATACAAAGAAAATATAAAAACAGATATAGTTATTTACGATTTAAACAAAATTTATAGATCTTGTCATGATTGTCCATTAACGCTTATTAAACTTGATAATTCTTTAAAGAGACTTCAATTTTTCCAAATATTTTTTTAATTTTATTTTTTTCCAATATATTATTTATATATGTTATTAATTTATAAAATTCCTTCTACTATTTTTAACCTTCCGCTCTACATCTATCTCTCTTACTCTGTATATATCTTTATCTTGCTGTTTCTCTTCTTCTTATCTATTTCCATTTCTATATCACTTTATGTCTCACGAACTTTGTTTCTTTTTTGTTTTTTAAAACTAAAAATGTTGTTTTTCTTCTTCTTGTCTCTTTCCCCCTCTATCACACACTTTATTCCTCTCGAACTTTCTTACTTTTTATTTTTTTAAATCTTCAAATATAGCTAAAATTAATTTATTCATTATAATCCTTAATTAATCCTTATATAGATCAATATTAATTTATTTTTTTTAACTCTGTGTTTCTTTTTCCATTTTACTACTTTCTCATCTCTATCTCTCTCTCTCTCTCTCTCTCTCTGTTTCTGCGTTTTGTTCAAATTTAATTCTTACAAATCGAATTCATTAAAAATCAATTTCATCTTTTCGTAATCTCATTTTATGTAAATTATTATATTTATTAAAATCTAAGTTATAGTTCATACCCGTATGTATACGTTCTAATGAATCTCACTTAAATCTTCAAATTGTTGTACTTTTTAACAAATATTTGTTATTTTATTAAATAATTAACTCTATTCAAAATAAATTTTAATACATATAAACGAGTATGTAAAATTGCGCTTCCAGAGATCTGTTGAAAGTTGAAGATGAAATATATATAGAAAACTATAGATGAGACATTAAATTTTTGTTAAACAATTGTTAAGTATAATAGTATATGAAAATATGAAAACTATATAAATTTAATAAATTATAGATTAATAAGTAAAATGATAAAATGGTATACATGTACGATGGGTGTAAAATGGAGAAATAATAATAAGGTATACATATATATATATATATTAATATATATGTAATGTATTTCAAAAAAATAACTAAATTACTTTAAATAATGTTGATAGAAACTTTTATAAATAATATCTAAACTAAAGCAAAATTATAAGAAAAAGAAAAGTAAGCGATCTAGGCACGATCTAGAGAGTATTAAGAAGAAGAGAGTTCAAAACCCTACATAGAATTATACCTAGAAGTAGTTGACATAAATTCCATGCTGCAAAAATTTAAAGCTAAAAATTAACTTTCCAACCTAAATTGTTAACTTAATAATATATATTTAAAAAGACATTTATTTATCTCATAAATTAGAAATAACTACATACATATTTAAATTAAGATACTCTACAAACTATTAAGTGACTATGTATTTCAAAGCATTAAACGAAGACATACATTTAGTAACTAAATGTGTATGGTATTCCTAAATATACATCAGCATTTTTAATATTTTCTCTTAATTGTACGTCCTTTAAAAAGTATATTTAATCTAGAAAAAGATTTGCCACTACTTAGCAAATATTATAAGATATATATAATATGAAAATAATAAAACACAATTTTTAATATTATAATTATTGAATGCAACTGATAGTTCCAATAGTCGCCTATGGGTACTGCAGAATTGAGTTGGGATCCTTACTTGAAGAGCATCTGAGCACAAACCCAAAAAACATTCGTGCACCACTCCTCACACCTACAAACCAATTCAGTAAATTAACAAAAAAAAAGAAAACAAAAGCAAAAACAAAAACAAAAACAAAAACACGTCCTGAATTCAAATACTTTAAATAATTTTTTATATATAAAGTATGTATGTAGAAAAACATATATATAAAATGATAATAATTAAATAATTGAATCATGTTTATGTGCAAAGCAAGATATATAAATAATTTTTAATATGTATTTAATAAAATATTTGATATATGTATTATTGTTTGTATATTTGTATGTGAATTTGTTTATAAAATATTAAATATTAAAAGTTTATTATATGTATTTTTATTTCATATATGCTATGCTAGGCATATATGAAAGAATTTGAAATTATATAGTAAAATCATTTTTGTATAGTTTTAGCATAGCTTTGTAAATGTTTTTAAATATATAAGTGTATATTTATAAATTATTATAACAAGAAATTTTATGACAAATATGAGTATTTATTATTAACTGTTAAGTTCTCTAATAAAAACCGTGAATCCTAAATAAATTAATTATATATAACAATAAAAAAATTACTAATTTATTTAAGAGATGGTCATAAGTTTCATTAAATCTCATCACATAACCTATATATAAAGTTTAGCGTTGTTATCTCTTAATAAATTTTTCCTTGTCTTAGTCATCACGCCACTTCTCCAATTAGCACTCTCCTCATCAAACCATTGATGTCGTTCTGTTACAATCTACAAACAGAAATTATGTACACAGCAAGTATATTTTATTCCCAATAGTTCATTTCACCTTCCAAGCATTTTCTTATAACACAACTAGTACTTCGGTTATAATATGTAAATCGGTCAAATCAACTCAAAGCATTTCCTCAGAAAATGTTCTCAACTGATTTTTGCCACGTGACATATGTTAATTACCTGAATTTTGAATGACATAGCTTACATACCAATTCCGAGATAATTGAGCTTATCGACAAGCTGAATGAGAGAACTGCCAATCTTATGATCGATTAGTGAGGTAATAGAACTTCAAACTATGACCCAAACGTCATACTGTAAACCAGCACTGGTAATATCTGAAATCTTGTTCAGATTGAGTTTAATTTTCCTAAAAAATAGTGCCTAGAGGGGATCCTGAGGTGAAAATGAAACATCGGAAGTAAAGTAGGAACCCAGACAGCGATGGAGAAGTTCCAAGAAAGGAAAAAACCAACTCGAACTTGGAAGGTCCTGTTGGACAAAAACCTATATGCGATACTACACAATAAAAAAAAATAACAAAAAAAAAACAAATATATGTGTAAAAAATAAAGTTTAGTAACTTTAGTGCTATAACAAAGCATTCCGTACGAAATATAAATAGCTCGCTCACAATTTGAGAGATGTGCAAGAAAGAATAAAATTCATCACCGTTACATAAACACTAAGTGAGTAACTGTCAAAACTGAATACATCGTTTGAGAAAACAAAGAGAGAAAGTTATATAAACTAATGAAGTTTCATTTCATTTGACTTCAACATAAGGTTCAGGCCTCGCATTCATACATTAGTATTCATATATTAGAATTGTCTTGGGTATACATATTTTCGGTTCTATAGGTATAAGTCTTGATTTTAATTTTTAATGTTTTTTGATTGGTAAATACCCATGCATATGCTTAAAGCTATAAAATTTCTCACTGTAGATTTAAACAATTATCCAATAACTAGATTATGTTTATACTATATACTATATTATTTTATTTCCAATTTAAGATTTATTTAATTACTTTTATTCTCTCTTAAAAGGTTAAACTATACTATTAAAGCGATATATTCAACCGTTTTCGGTTCCTGGCTGCAATACATTTGGTCAAAGATATGAATACAGACGAACTACTTGACGATATGAACTGGGAACGTTTCAGATTATTTTTTGCACAAACGCTCATGGAATATCAAAAAATATATAAAAATTATTCTAGTCGCGTTAAAATCCCATTAAGATTATTTATGTGTAATTATATGGTAACAAAGATTACCGTTTTCTATATATATTACGCTTGTTACTGGTCTTGTCTCCAACAAAAAATCAATTAATTTTTATTTATTTCCGCAATTCAAAATTAAATTTAAATTTAAAAAAAAAACATTTTTTTTATCTGCGAAATTATTAATAATCTCACTTATCCTGTTCAATACTTATTATTACGTAATACAAATGTTGATATTTCTGGTATAGACATCGACACCCTTGGATAGGTATATGTGTTTATATACCAGATAAAGAATTGCATATCTCTGTCTGGCACAAAAATCCAAAAATTCACTATGCCAAGCAGAGAAGATAATGTTTCTTATCTCGGAAAGCAATAAAAAGAAATCTTCTGACTTTGAAGCGCGTCAACCAACAAGAGTGAAAATTTCTTATGCGGGGCGGAAGATGCGTAATCGTGATAACTGCCTATATACTTTGAAGACGATAACGTTGTTTACAGGAATTAAAATGTTTCAATTATAATTACAACAAATCTGTTAAGAATGGAAATAAATAAACGCATAAAAACAATGGAAAAATGCACAACAAAATATTTAATTTAGAAAATTGAGCAACTTCAGTTGCTATCCGAACGTCGGCGCGCAAAGTGAAAAAGTAGAAGAGCAGGCAAACAATTGCTGTCTGGAGATCTAGCGAAAGTTTGCAGTGTCAACATCAAAAAAAATCTTTTGTACCAGAAAGCCATATACATTATTCGCACAAAAAAATGAGTGCCGACGAGAAGACTACTCTCTTACACTACAACGATTTTGGTGCTTGTCATCATGGCAATCATGTCGTACATATCCCCAAGGACTACGAACCCATTTTCTCTATTGATGAGTAAACATTTTTTTTATAGATATCTATATACTAATTCAGATATATATACATTTATAGATATGTGTATATTAATGTAGGTACATTCTACATTATTTTTTTACTTTCATTTCAGTTTCTGCTGTGGATTGACTTTGGAAGAATTACTTCCGTATAAAGATGATCCTTGGTGGCAGAAAGTACGTCGTACACTATTCTGCACTTTCTGGCTTATATTGTTGTTAACATTTTTTACCGCTTGTCTATTGTCTTACATGCAATTTGCAGCAGGAAAAGCTGGAAGTACCTGCAGAATGTCTACACTACATAATACCACAAGTGGTTCTATTGGGTTACTTAGTAAGGTTGCGGCGGTTACTTTGGAGACCAGTGCACTTAAAATGTTACCTTGACTGATGAGGTGGAATGATCCGCATGTGCCTCCCATGGAGTGCAAAATGCAAACTCTTTTTTAGATCTAAGTTTCGAAACAAATTTTAATTATACAATTATATAGCTATAAGAGAAAATATATTTAATAAGGAAAAGGTTATTATTAAATTTAACAAATTAAATCTTTAATGGTACATTGTTTTTGTAATTTTTTAAATTTTATTTATTTGCTGAATTATTTGAAGTTAGAACACATCAGTATCCGAATAGAATATGTATAATATGTTACTGAGAACCCCGTGACTAGTGCAACACTCCAGAAAACCATCGGGTTAAACAAGCTATTTAAGTAAGTTATTCGTCATTTCAACGATATGGATCTATTAGAGGTATCAAATCTATATTCTAATCACACAGATGTAAAATGCACAAGGAGGAGAATACTGACCACGAAGGTCATGTCTATTTATACAGTTAGACGTAATTTAATATGAACATCATTTAATTTGAAGAACTGAATACCTTCTCTTCGATTACGGTCAGTTCTTAGCACAAAAGACCTACTCTCGTTGCAATATTATTTTCCACTGTGAAACCACAACTTTGTCAAAAACTCTATGTCAAAACATAAAACGCTTTCTGTGTGATTAGGATCATTTTTTATAAGTTTTTTCAACCAACTAAAAAACAAAAGGAACAGTAGTTGTAACAATACATGTAAATAATCATGACTCCTTAAAACGACGGCTGATAAGATCAGAAAACATGAGATCAATGACGAACTTTATAACAAACTTAAATAAAATATTTTATCTTGGTTTTTCGGTTGATGGAAAGCTGCAGAAGCTCCTGTGTGGAACCTTTTAGTGGGTAAGGAATGAATAATGAAAATTCTAGTTCTAAGACTTTGAGGTTCGAAACGCTTAAAATTGTGTTGAAGTTAATGACTTAACATTCATAAATCTAAAATTATTTAAGCTACACAGATGATAGGATAGTTCTGACAGTAAAAAGGAAATTATTAGGCATACATTTTTTAAAAAGGAATGATGGAAAGAACAATTACATCTCATACAAGTACAGTAAAAGGTATTGGGGGGCTTCTGCACATAACTAACATCAAGAAAAGATGATACGTATCCGTCGAAGGGAGTGATTTTAGTCTTGGCCAGTGTGCACCCATGCCCAAAAATTGATTATATCTTTCTTTGAGATGTGTGGACATCCTAAACATTTATTTTCAAGAAATTATATTCTTTATTTACCGTGCAGGTTGGTTTTGAATATACAATAATTAGACCAACTGACATATGAATTATACGACTATAGTACATACGATTATCATTTCGAAGATATGAACTGCATCGATCAATCTAAAAAACAGAAGTTTTTACAAAAAATTTAAAACTCTACTCTAAAATAATACTAATTTTATTAAAAACTTTTATTTTATAATAAAAAAATATTACGTTTAAATAAAACAAAATATAACGTTTTTTAAAATTTTTCTTTTAAGTCGCTTTTAATGGTAAGTCAGTTATTGTATTTTGGTGTAGCGTATTTTTTTTGTCACTCATAACGCGCACTAGAGTCATAGGGCGACTAACCAGATTCGCAGTGTACAGTTTACGAGGCTCTGACACCCATAAACTAAAGTTGAAGGAAGGCATTTCGCTGCAATAGACATAAACGTTAGGTATCTCTTTACGTTTCTCCATCACATATTTTCGAATTTTTTGCAGTGAGTCTGAATTACGACAAATTATTTCAGATAACAGAGTTTTATATATTTCTCGCAATTGATCTGTTACAAAACAAAACAAAACAAATAATTAATAATTAAAATTTTAAGAATAATTTCTACCTTTTGTAAATCTTTGTGGCCCAATCTTACGTTCATACCAATGTGAATCGCCCATTTTTAAACGTAAAAATTGATCGGATACCATGCAAGTAAGCAGAGGACCAAATATGGCACCCTCCATAGGTGGTTCACTTAATGCCCCAGTGTAAACATCAACATCAAGTGGTGAACTAAAGGTAATAATACAATTCAGATCATTCAGATAACGAAATGAACGAAGACAGAATTTTCAATTAAACTAAGCCAACCCAAAATCACTGTGGTTCTTACTTATAAATCTGTTTTATAGTTTGCAAAGAATCGGTGTCAACAGCTGCAGCCATATGTTCCCAAGTATCGGTTGGTGGTAAATTACAATGTTGTCTAAAAACTGTATAAGTTGGTAGACCATGATCGCGACCACGTTGTAAATTTAGTGAGACCAAATCTAAGCCACAAATAGGTCTTTTGTTACCCACATTATTTTCGAATAATTTTTGTGTAACCTCTAACGAAAAGAATCGATCGACACGTTGTACTGGTGTATTAGCAGCTGCAACAAGGGCACTATCAATTCCACCTTCCTTCCATAAGGAGAAAGGATTGAATAGCATTTGATGGAGTTCCATAGCTTCTGATGTACTGTTATCTCTAGTCATATTGAAAAGACCCTTTAAAATTAAGTTTTAATAAATCTTTTGTAATTTTTGAATCGTATAACGCTCCTACCGGTAACAAAGTATGTGCGAAACGAAACGCTGCCGATGCAAAGCAATTGGCTATCGTTGGATCAACGCTAGAATCGTATGTATCTGGTGCTTTCAAATTGTTTGTGCTTGGCAACAACCCTTTCGCTTGGGCGAGATCACGACCAATTAAGATTGGCAAAAATCTGTAAGGAAAAATTTTTTTGTAATATTAACTATTGATATAAAATTTAAAGTCTGGGGGTAAAGATAATACAATAGCAGCTGCAACTTGAAAGTAAGAAAATTCAAAGGACAAAATGGTTTACCATACATAAGACTGTAATCTTCTTGTTAACATCAACCAAATCGTGTTATAGACAAACTTATTAAAATCTAGACTTACTCATTGTATGTTATGTGTTGCATTTGTGCACTCAGAATCTTACGCGCTTCTTGAAACACAGTTTCATCATCCCAACTTGGATTAGCCTCTTGCAATCCCCGAGCTAAGTAGTTATGATGACGAGCAAAGAGCAAATGCATTGAGGTTAAAAGTAAATTTTCATTAGCACGATCATCTCCAGACTCGAAGCAGTACTTTCCTTAAATACATAAAGATATGTCATATATATATTTATGACTCTTCACTCCGACTTAATAATTTACCATCACGTGCCATCTGTGCACGATTACAACCATCATCAAAATTGGTGGATAGAGGTAGTAGTTCACGCCCATCTTTGGTGATAAACATGCGCAAAGTGCCATTGCTCATAGTACGCAAATATTCCTGACGGATATCTGTATTACCATATACCACAGAACCATCTATAAAAGCTGTAGCCTGATTCAATTGTTGACGTGGTCCAAAGTGCCCAGTACTGGCCGGTGCTGAACGTACAAAATTCATGCAACTGACATTAAATTGTTTATAGTACGGATCGTTTGGTGCTATGGGTACTGGGAAACACTCGGGATGTGTGTTAGGTGGCTGTGTGCAGCAATTAATGGATTCACCTTCTTGCGATGTAGTTAGCGATGTTGCCGTTATGTCATGATCCAGAAACTGACCGAAAACTGCCAACATCACAGTAAAATTAGAATCAGTTTCATATGAAGCACGATAGATCTTAAGCGAAACTTCTCTAGCTGAGGGCAGGTATGAAGCAGTAATGGTACCATTGACACTTCCACGTGGCAGGGCTATACCATCTGCATAATCTGGACTTATCATCCGTCTGTAAGGGATCATTGCAGCGCCATAGTTACGAGGATGTAATTTGTTATTACAAACACCATTCATACGTCGATAACGTTCATTAAAATCACAAGCAAAGTTGAGTGTTGGATCAGGGAGGTCGATGCGCGGTCCTATACCAATATTACTGCGTCCCGGTATCTTGGTATAGTTAAACATTTGTGCGATACGCATTGTTGCTTGATTTTCAACATAACCACGCCGTGCAATTTTTCTTGCTTCCGGATTTGTGTTCAGTGAACGATAATGTCGAAAAGCCGGGCTATCAATCGGTGTTGTTTCCATGCCTTCCTCCATTATTTCACGATCTCCCAAAGCTTGTATGCCAGCTCCTATTGCTTGCTCGCCGGTAGTTTTGTTTAAATGTTTTAGAGCCCATTTAGCTACGGGCTCGTCTGGAATGGGTTTTGTAGTTGACTCTAAAATGTCACGTATAGTTGCATTTGTAATCGGAGTATTGTTTGTTGCCAAATTAAGCACCGGATCTTGTGGATCCAAGTAATAATTATCAGTCAACACCAAAGCTAAAACTAGTCCCGCAATCAATATTACACTGCATGATAAATAAAAAAAGTTATTAATATGAATGAAAATATGTACATATATACGTTTGTAATTCTGCTTATAAATATATACACAGTTACGACTATGTGGTTTATTGATTATAAATAAGTTGTGGTTTTAGGGTAACAGACACTGAAGCACTTTTGCCGCACAGTCATAATTTATTGATTCATCACAAAATAGTTTTTTCAACTCTCCTAATGGGGTTAATAAAAAACTTAAGTTTCAAGGACATTTGGATATGTTGGAACTGAAAAAGTATGTACAGAGTAGGTACACAGTCGGCAAAGCTTTAATATTTTCCCTCTTCTAACAGACTGATAAAATTATAGATATTAAATGAAACACCTACACAAAATAAACATCTCTTAATCTGACGAATGCTTATACTGCTATAAAGACGAACATACCCACATAATCAGTAAACAGCACTGGGTATTTTGCTTTGGACTTGGTAACTGGTAATAGAAGAGCATTTAGTATAGTACATTTTATTAATAAAATAACATCCGAATAAGATTTACAGGGACACAACAGACCTAACTGTAGAGGCAGTGCACAACAATCTTTTGGATCTTCTCTTTCTTGCAATGACGCATCATAAAATAAAACCATCTGGAACGCACTAATATGTATTACAAAAAATAATGGATGTATTAAATAACCTCTACGAAGATGCGATATGCAGAATGTTCTACGAAAATTACTTAATCCACAATATCTCTATCAAAACAGTAATGAGTCAATGGAGTGTGCCATCATCTCTTTTATTTATCAATATGCTCGGCACATGAAAGCGACTTGAACACTTGAAAAAATAACATGCGATATATGGGGTCACATAGCAGATCTTGATTACAGATTTGCGACATTTGCTTTCTCCCGCATAAACATCTGGATATGAAAATATCCAGATATTAAAAAAACCAAAAACCTTCTATGAAACATCATATAGATCAGTAATTATAAATACAACTTTGCAGTAACTTCCTAACCTAGATATTTCTTAAAAGAAATCTATTGGCAAACAAATTTAATATATACTTTTGTACAGGCGTAGCCAATGAGGGGCCATATTGTGATGGAGCAATGGCGAGCGTATTAAGTATGTACTCAGGCAGTTGTGCAGCAATAAAAGATGTATTTTAGGCAATGGAGCGCTTATTTATTGATTATTTTTTTCCTTGATTCTTCTCGTTTTTTGTATTTATTTTCGTATTGCAGCTACGCCCTGGGTTTTTCTTAACTATTTTTTGGGAATCACAACATTCATTTCATATGAATATATATATAATAATATATATATTACTATATATTATATAGTAATTACAAATCATGTTTTTTTCTAGGAATATAGAAAAATTCTTTATTATCTTAATAGCATTATATTTATTTATATTTATTATTATATTTATTATTGAATACATATTTATTATTTGCACTCATTCGCTCATTACTTGAAAGCATACTTTAAACCACGTTTATTCCACCAGAACACTTACAAAAGCATTAATCCAATGCAAAATTGATACTGACACATTTTTTGTCGTCTTGAACGTGGTGAAACACCACCTGGAAAGACATGCATCGGTCCAGGTGGTTGTGAAGATGTTAACGGCGTAGTTTCATCCGACATTGCAAACAATTTTTGCAAATATAACAGTTGGCTCACTTGAGTATTCACTTTCGAAATTTGCAATGAAACCGAAATTAATGTTAAAAAACTGCTTTACCGTAGCGTAGCTAAAGTGCAACTAACTTCCAGTTGACGAACTTACGACGCGACCAGTTAGAGTTAAAGTTACACTTCACTTGTAGGGTTTCACGTCTCGGCTACAACTAGCAATTCTAGCTTAGGTATGCATATGAAAAATTATTACAAATATTTATAAAGTGGTTGTCCTAAGCAGCCTAAAGCTTATCTGAAATACACATTCTTTGTTTTTTAGCAGTGAAAACAAACATGTTTCATTCAGAACCGTCCAGATACAGATAGCTTGTTAAGCTTCACACATGATTTGTCTCGCTATTATTGATGTGTGCAATTGTAATTTAGATAGTCGAATACATAAAACAATTAATAGCATTCAATAAATTTAAAAATTCTATAATCTTAAAACATTTTATTTAAAATTTTATAAAAAAAATCAGGCTTCCATTTGCCAAAACATAAATTAACAAATACTAAAAATATTTTGAATTCTAAATGCTATGATTCAAGTTTCCATTTCATCACTTTTCTTAAAGGAATTATTGATGCATTCATATGTCAACTTGAGTAAATATTGAAATGACGTGTTGTGTGCCACTTCCTCCAAGTCTTCAGCATTAAGGAAATTTTCAATTGGTGGTAAGAATGTCTCGAGCTCAGTGCCTGCAATTACATTTTTAATGTTACTTATTACCATAAGTAGGTCAAATATAAAAATTAATAAAAAGCACTGCTAAATTTTAAGAGTCTAAGCTAATTGATAAAATTAAAACTAATATTAATAATACATAAAACTTAAATACCCATTAAATGGCACACTTCGGTCAATTTAAAAAATAAGAGGTTTTGTACGTGGTCAATGGCATTATTGATATCATAGTCAATCCAATTATCACGTAAAATTGCAGCACACCAAATTTTATGCCTTGCTTCATAAGGCTCCTCTATATAGTTTAACAATTCGAGTGCTTTACGAAAGTCCTCCTCTGTAGCTTTCTCATTTTCATCCGTTATTATAAGCTGCAAAAAAAAAAAAATATTTAAAAATTTTTACCTATATTTATATGAGAAACTTATACTGTTCCTGATAAATGATACTTGCATTTATAATCTCCTCCACTTTCAACACTTTCTGATTTTCAGGATCAAAACCAAAGCTTTCCAATAGTGCAGCACTTAGCTGTTCTTGATAATCAATAATTTTTTGTTCAGTATTTATATTTTCAATTTGTGTACTCAAATCAGACTCCAACGATGCTATGGATGCTAATTTTGACAAGGATAACATGGCCTAAAAAATAGTACAAATACATTATATAAAAGTGAAAATTAATCGTTAATATATATTAAAAATCAAATTTTTTTTGGTTTTTATTTAGAACTAATTTTTATACTTATTACTTTTTATTACTAATTCATTATGTGTTATTATTTTTATTGTCTTTTTTATTATTATTTGTCATAATTTATTATTATTATATTTAATTACTATATTTTCTATATAACTTTAGGCAAATTAATTTTTAAACTAATGTTTTAATATAAACTCTAATTTACAGTTCCTTTTATTACTTCATTAAAACGTGTTCCAGATGTAAAATATTGCTATTATATATAATATATATAGTTCAAGTGGATAGCTTGTCAAAGGACATAAAAATTTTCATTAGGTATATATGTGATATAAAATAAAATATATATATTTAATGTTAAATAATTATTGGCAAGTATTGGCAAGTACTCATCAGTGATCTTAAGAAATACATTTTCGAATTTTTTTAATTAGTTTGTAGTCCGTATATAATTTGTTTGGACTGCAAACAATTTGGACTGTTTGACTACTTGTGAAAAAACACGATTAGTCATCGATTCTAATTTGACAGGCACGACTTCTAAGACTGGCTCTTGCAATCCAAACACATTATATACGGACTACAAAAATAGTCCGTTAAAAAATTCAAATATTTCCTTAGACCACTGAGGATGAGTAAGACGATATGTAGCCTTTCGCAGACTAATTGTTTCATAACCTTTCTAAGCTGAATGTAGTCCATAAAGAACAGTATTTAAGTGAAAGTTTTAATTATCTGGTACTTTTCAACTGGGCAGCTACTTACAACCCATTTTTTACCTCTTCTCACACTTTAATTGCTCTTATGATAACGCGTTATAAGCTAAACATAGTCCATAAGGGTCCATTCTTTAACTAGAACTTTAAAAAAATTATCTCATATTTTTCAACAGGACAGCTAGTTAGCCACAATTGCTTATAACCCACTAACTGCAATTATACCTTTGTTTTTTACTAGTTTAACAAAATATTTTACTAATATGCATTAGAAATATTACTAATCAGTTCAATACTTTTTAGATTAGCTTAAATTTAAGATAACGACTGGCTACCTTTTTTCTTGTTACTAATTCAGTTTCATTTTGTGCCAACTGCAGAAGAGTTTTTGATGCCCGTTCGAAGTCCCCATTATATATCAGCTGTATCCAAGCCAAAGTCGGATGATCTCGCATAAATTGTGATAAGGCAGCTTGATTTTCTTTGAAACGATCAAATACATCACCCTGACGATTTTGACGTAAATGCCAGTTAATTGCAAACTGTGAGAAATCGTATTCCTCAAATTTTTTTATATAATGATCAAGGCGCTCCTGACTGTCACTTTGATCGCATATTATTACTAAACATTGGAAGTCTAAGTACTTCTCAGCCAACTTTGCGGCGAGCTCATACTGTTCATCGTTAACTGGAAGCAAACGCAACATAAAAAATTAATTATCAAATTATCACAAAAAATATTATACTTACTTAAAAGAGAAATCAAACTCAAACGTTGCGATTCGTATTGTTGCAAGAAAACATTGTATTTCTCTGTGTCGCGTATGCTATCCAAGTATGATTTTCGACCATCGAGTATGTAATCGATTAGCTCTAAGATCTGCTGATATAATTTTTGTTTAGTGGATTGATCACAAGGAGTACGTGTGCCATAACGCGTTGTTATATCAACCAAGTGATTTAGAACATCCCTCATGCCAGCAGAGCCACTCATGGCAGTCCAAGGCAAATATTCATACATATCCAATTTATCGGCAGGCAGTGAAAATATAGATGCATTTTGTTCACGAAAGGTATGAATTTCGCTGAGCAAGTGTAAAACGATTGCATTGATGTCACAAATTAAATTTGTCACACCAAGAGACTGTTTCTGCTTTGTAATGCGTTCGTCAACAATATCGGCTAACGCCTGAAAGAGGTCCTGGAATTTGCAAATGCGTACGTAAAATAAATCCTGTGCTGTTAAAGCACCCTCAGGCATATCATTCCAGCCTACAATAACTCGTTGTATAGCTTCATCTACAAGACTTGAAAATCTAAGAATACGTAAATATATGAAGTTTTCAACAATTTTAAATAATTAATTTTATATTATGTACTTGACTTGTTGTGATCTTAAGGCTATAGCGCCTATAATCTTCTCATTTATGTCGGATATAATGTTACAGGTTGACTTAATCAAAGCACCACTACTTCCAGGACTGTGCAACGTTTGCAACTAAATTAAAAATATTTCCAAAAATTGGTTTAATCATAATAATAAATGGCACACGATCAAGCATATGTCAAAATTTTATTAAATATTACTTCACATACCTTATCCCAAATACCAGTTGTGTGCAAAAAATCCACAAAAT